CCCAGAGTGTACTGCCACGGAAGCAGGATTGACGGGCGCTGACATTTCTAAGGCGCTTTGAGGATGGCAAAGCGCTTTCTACACACGTGACCTCACCATGGGGGCGGGGGGGCCGTACAGGTACGATTATCCCTAATTTACAGACGAAGAGACTGAGGTCCAGAGGGGTCCCTGACTCTCCCAAGTCGCTCCGCTACGTGGTAGCATAACCTTGACTTCAACCTCATTTTCTGCCATCAGAGGGAAACCTGGCTCTCTTCACTAAAGCGCAGAGCCCTGGTGATGGGCTGGGACCGGAGTGGAAGCGAGCCTCAGAGCGCAGGCGTGAGAACCTCCCAGGGAGCTGTCACTGCCTGCCGAGGGAGGCCGGGAGGGCAAGACTACGATTCCCAGAATGCCGCGGGCCAGAGCGGCGCGACGCGCGCAGGCGGGGCCTCGCGGCTCCGTGCGCCGGCGCGTGACGTCAAACTCCTGCGCCCGCGGCCCCGGCTTCAGCCCGTCCGCAGAGTGAAGGTGACAGAGGGAAAGGTCCGCGCCTTAAGAGGCAGCGGCGCCGCGAAGCTTCGGTCCTCCTCCCGCCGCCTGCGGCCCCCTTCCCGGCCCGCACGATGCTGGCGGTGCAGCGGCTCGTGCGGGGGGCGCTGTCCGCCCGGGGCCTGGCCCGGCTCACCTTCCAGGAGGTGGGGACGGTAAGTGCGCCCGGGCTGGGAGGGGGCGGGGCCGCAGGGTCAAGTGGGACGGGGGTGGGGGTGGGGGCAAACGGGGCGGGGCTTGGTGCTGTCGAGGGCGGAGCCGGGACTCAGGGGTGGAGGCCCCCCCCTTTCTCCCACCTGCTAGTTGGTGGCATTCAAGGCCCGCCAGGATGCCTCCTCCCTAACCTAAGCCATATCCCGCCCCCCCAACCATAGGCAGCTGGGGCGGGGTGCAGTCCGTTAGCTGTGACCCTGGGCAAGTCCTCAGTTTCCCCATCTGCAAAATGGGTGTGGTGACCAAATGACATAACCTCAGTAAAGGGCACCTTAAGGCGCCGCATAAGCATTATTTGTTATGATTATACCTGGAAGGGACCTTACGAGTCACCTTGACCGGACTCTCTCGTTTATAGACGAGGAAACTGAGGCCCGGATAGGTAGGAAGTGGCAGCCCCCTTCCCCACGCCTGGAATGCCATGACCTTGCCCTAGGGACATTGACCTTGAACAAGTCACCTCTGCCAGGCGCACTCCCACAGCAGACTCTGAGCGTCTCTTGGGCAAGGATGTGGGCTGGTGGGCTGCGAGTGAGGGCCTGGGAGCAGGGCATAACTTTTACGGCTGCCCCGGGAACAATTTGGCCCAGCACCCTGACTGCCGGCTCTCTCTGCGGAGCCAGTGCGGGTGGGTGGGTGTGAGCTGCTCTCCCGGGAGAGTCACAGCGCCCTGTGCACGGGGCGGCCGCCCTGCCAGGACAAAAGCCAGGCGCCCAAGTCAGCCCCACCAGTCCCCCTTCTCCTGGTATCATTGGCCTTCCCCAGGCCCCTTAGACCTCCAGGAAGGGAGGCTCAAGCTCCTGGGCCCTGGGCCTCCTGAGCCTCCCATCCCCACAGGCGCCCCCCAAGAAGACGACGTTTGGGTCCCTAAAGGATGAGGACCGTATCTTCACCAACCTCTATGGCCGCCATGACTGGAGGTACTGAGGTCTTTTCCGGTCTGGGCAGGGCGGCTGGTGTGTGATGGGCTCCCGGGCTCACCTCTTCCATCTCCACCCCACCTCCCTCCCGCAGGCTGAAGGGGGCCCTGAGTCGGGGTGACTGGTATAAGACAAAGGAGATCCTGCTGAAGGGGCCGGACTGGATCCTGAGCGAGGTCAAGACCTCAGGCCTGCGGGGCCGCGGAGGGGCCGGCTTCCCCACCGGCCTCAAGTGGAGCTTCATGAACAAGCCGTCTGACGGCAGGTGGGAGACAGAGGCTGATGAGGAGGTGGGGGGGGGAGGAAGAGGAGGAGGAGGGAGGTGCTGGCAGCAGCAGCGGCCTGGTGCCACAGAGACCATGAGGTGTGAGTCCCTGGCCTCACTCCTCTGTAACATGGGAGTGGTAATGACCTCTGCCCTGCCTTCCCTTCCTCCCAGGACTGTTGAGGCTTCTGTGAGTGGACGTATTTAGTCTGGGTTGGGGAGGGGGCAGGGAGACATGAGACCATGCCCTTCATGTTTGCAGGTGCCCCTCCTCCCTGCTGCTGCCCCCTCCTTCAGGCTGGGGCCCTGCTCCTCCTTGACCTGGGTTGGTTTTCAGGCATGGTCAGTGGTTGTGGTGGGGGGGCAGGATTGTGTGGAGTGAAGTGGAGACAGGGGACTCGGGGTCCCCTGCTGGCGGCTTGTTGGTACCAGGGAAGGGCTGGGAAATGGGAATGACGTGGGAAAGACGTTGGGCGGCTGCACTGGCTGATGGATCCCCCTCCTTCCCCAGGCCAAAATACCTGGTGGTGAATGCAGATGAGGGGGAACCAGGGACCTGCAAGGACCGGGAGATCATAAGGCATGACCCCCACAAGCTGGTGGAGGGCTGCCTTGTAGGGGGCCGGGCCATGGGTGCCCGGGCTGCTTATATCTACATCCGGGGCGAGTTCTACAATGAAGCCTCCAACCTGCAGGTGAGTGAGGCCAGGCACGGACTCGTGGGGGCACCTTAGGGTCCCCCACAGCCATGCTGACAGACGGCCTTCTCTTGCCAGCCCTTACTTACAGTCTCTCCCCCCCTAGCCGCCTCCCCTGACCCCGCCCCGAGCCTTCTCCTTGTGACGTCCCCCCAGAGCCTTCACCCCCTGACCCCTCCTGAGCCTTCACCCCCTGACCCCTCCTGAGCCTTCACCCTGTGATCCCCTCCAGAGCCTTCTCCTCCGACCCCCTCCTCACAGCCCTCTTCTGGCCCCCCCTGCAGGTGGCCATCAGGGAGGCCTATGAGGCCGGGCTGATTGGCAGGAACGCCTGCGGATCTGGCTACGACTTTGACGTGTTTGTGGTGCGGGGGGGCCGGGGCCTACATCTGTGGGGAGGAGACGGCACTCATCGAGTCCATCGAGGGCAAGCAGGGCAAGCCCCGCCTCAAGCCGCCCTTCCCTGCTGACGTGGGTACGTGAGCTCAGTGCCACCTCAGCGGCACGGAGCACAAGGGCCATCCTGGGCGGGTCTTTGGGCTTCGGGCAGGCCCAGCATGGGGGACAGCTGTAGGGACCCTCCATCCCCAACGGTGTGACCTTGTGCGAGGCCCTCGATCCCTCAGCTGTAGGATGGAGATGGGAATACTTGTCCAAGCTCTCCCCAAGGACCGTGGACCCCAGGGTGTCAGTGGGAACTCTGATTGAGCCTCAGCAGAGCAGAGAACTCTCAGAGGGAGTAGGCTGAGGATGTCAGGGGAGGGCAGGCTTCCTGGGGCACTTTCCTGGGGCCTGGGATGCTGTCCAGACCTCCCCCAACCCCTCTGTCTGGCAGGCCTGTTTGGCTGTCCCACCACCGTGGCCAACGTGGAAACGGTAGCCGTGTCCCCCACCATCTGCCGCCGCGGGGGGTCCTGGTTTGCCAGCTTTGGCCGGGAGCGGAACTCGGGCACCAAGCTCTTTAACATCTCTGGCCACGTCAACCACCCCTGCACCGTGGAGGAGGAGATGTCAGTGCCGCTGAAGGAGCTGATAGAGAAGCATGCCGGTGAGGGCCGGGGTCTGGGGGGCAGGGGAGGGTGGAGGCAGGGCCGGGGGTGACTCTGCTGTGGTCCTCAGGGGGTGTGACCGGCGGCTGGGACAACCTCCTGGCGGTGATCCCTGGCGGCTCGTCTACGCCCCTGATCCCCAAGTCTGTGTGTGAGACGGTCCTGATGGACTTTGATGCACTGATCCAAGCCCAGACAGGGCTGGGCACTGCCGCCGTCATCGTCATGAACCGCTCGGTAAGGACACCTCCTGCCCTGCCACAGCCTCCTGAGCCCTCCTGCTGCTAGAACCCACGGGGTGGGGGTGGGGTCCTGGTGCCCCCCCCCCAGTAGCGACTCCTCCTGCTCCCCCTCAGACAGACATCGTGAAAGCCATCGCCCGCCTCATCGAGTTCTACAAACACGAGAGCTGTGGCCAGTGCACGCCTTGTCGGGAGGGTGAGCACCCCGAGCCTGGGTGAGGGGGGATGGGAGGGAGCTGGGTACAGACCCCAGCCTGGCCTCCAGGGGCAATGCCCGAAACCCCTTCTCCCTGGCCCCTTCAGGTGTGGACTGGATGAACAAAGTGATGCAGCGGTTCGTCAGAGGGGATGCCCACGTGTCTGAGATCGATGCGCTCTGGGAGATCAGCAAGCAGATTGAGGGCCACACCATCTGTGCCCTGGGCGACGGGGCCGCCTGGCCAGTGCAGGTATCATGAGCTGGCGGCAGCAGTGGGACGGGCAGTGGAGGACGTGGCCCTTGGACCCAGGCTGGCGGGGGGACAAGGAATGGAGGACCTGGCCCCTGGGCTGGCGGGGGGACAAGGAATGGAGGACCTGGCCCCTGGGCTGGCGGGGGGACAAGGAATGGAGGACCTGGCCCCTGGGCTGGCGGGGGGACAAGGAATGGAGGACATGGCCCCTGGGCTGGCGGGGGGACAAGGAATGGAGGACATGGCCCCCAGGGGTGAGCAGCAGTCCTTTGGGTGGCCCTTGCCCCTGAGCTCTGCCTGTCCCTCTTCGAGCAGGGCTTGATCCGCCATTTTCGCCCAGAGCTTGAGGATCGGATGCACCGTTTTGCAAAGGGCTACTCGGCCCACCAGACCGCCTAGGCTGGAGCCCACCACCCCTCTCCCCCTTCCCGTGCTGGTCTGTGTGAATAAAGTCAGGGCTGCCCGTGGGCCGCTGCTGAGTTTCTGTTTACCTCCCCTCTGCTTACTGACCTGCAGTGGGCCAGGCCTCAGCCCAGCCTCTTGCTGGCCCTGGGACTCGGAGGGAGGGAAACTGGATGTGGAGGTCAGGGACCAGGATCAGATCTTGACCCTGCCTACTATGCCCTGGGAGACCCTGGGCCTTGGCCCCCCAAGGTAGGCCTAAGGTCACTTGTTCTGCGCTCCAGGGGGGGAGATAACGGGGCCAGATCAGTCCTATTGGTGAAGGGTGGTATTCCATAGGCCAACAGTCTGAGAAATGGGCACAGCACAGCCCCTGCACCGAACCAGTGTTTATTGGGGGAGTGGAGGGAAAAGCCTAGTGTCCCTGCCCCCTCCGCGCCCCCCTGAGAGTCCGTGCAGGGGCTCCTGCCAGGCCCGCCTCCTTCCTAGTCACCAAGCTGGGGAGGGGCTCCGTCCAGCAGGTGCCACAGCTCCAGGCGCCGGTCGCTGCGGGCCAGGCACTCGCTCCAGTGCCGAAGCTCAGCCAAGCCCCCCAGGGCCTCCCCTCCGCAGCCCCTCCCCCCGGCCCTCACCAATGAAGTCGGCGGCGGTGCCCAGGTCATAGTCCCACACGGACACCAGCAGGGTCTTCTGGGCGAGCTCTTCCCTCTGGCCCGCGTAAAAGAATTTCTGCGGACATGGCCGTCACTTGAGGGCCCGAGGGGGCACCTCCCGGGCATGGGCCCGGTGCCAGGTCTGGCTCCCCACTCACCTCATTGAACTCGGGGTTCAGGGTCTTCTTCCAGACGGTCATCTTGTATTTGGACTTCTTACCCGTGTTTGGTCGGAGGAAGCTGAGGGATGAGGGGTTTGTGGGTGGGTGGGGGGCATCTTTCTGCCGTGGCCCCTGACTCCGCCCTCTGGCTTCCGGGGGACCCAGCTCCCAGCCCACCCTGCTCGCTCACATGCGCACAAAGGGGTCCGAATACCCATTGGCGTCCATGGGGGCAAGGTGGGCACAGCGTAAGACCCCGACCAGCAGGCCGCCCCACTGGGAGCTGTAGCACAGCGAGAGCAGGATCCGGCCCCGCTCCTCTCCGGCCGCTTCCACCTCCTGCAGGGCAAGTGTGGGCGGGGGGCCCAGTCACCAGGTCGCCAGTGGGATGATCCAGTGTCTGATGCAGGGGCTGCTGATGTGAGTTACAGGAGCAAAGCTTTCCCAGCCCCAGCACAGGGACCCTTTAAATGTTGGTGGTGGGGCAGCTAGGTGGCGCAGTGGATAGAGCATCGACCTTGGAGTCAGGAGGACCCAAGTTCAAATGTGGCCTCAGACATTTGACACAGACCCTGTGTGACCCTGGGCAAGTCACTTAACCCCGACTGCCTCACCAAAAAAACAAAAAGAAATGGTGGAGCCAGATTGCCTGAATTGTACTCGAGTGAACCCTCACACCAAACAGCACTAGAGGGGTCTCCAGGCTAGCTCTGCCCTGCTCCAGCGGAAGCGTTAATGACATGGCCTGTACACAAGGGGGCGGGGCTGCAGCAGTGAGGAGAGGAGGGAGCCCCGGAGAGCTCCCTAAAGCCAATGGCACAGTGGATGGAGGCCCAGACAGTCCCGTGCTTTGTAACTCCCTGTGGGACCCAGGCAACTCTCCTCCCTTCTCTGGGCCTCAGTTTCCCCATCTGCCAACGGATTTGATGACATTCAGGTGCTCAGTTCCTTAAGCCGAGCCTTAAAGGAACAGAAGGCTTCTGAGGGAGGGCAGTCAGGCAGGGGGCACCCTCTGCCAAGGCCCAGAGGCCAGAGATGGACTGTTGACTTGGAGCCAGTAAGCCATGTTGACTGGAGCGCAGATCTCACAAAGGGCGACGTGTGAGATAATAGTTCCAAATGGAGCCAGACTGGGGGGTTTCAGATGCAGCGGTGTGTGTGGGGGGGGTGTTTGTTGCTACAGGCAAAATGTGTCTGACCATGCCAACGTTCCCTGTCCTCAGCCTCCTCCCAGCCCTGACGTCCCACATTCTAAGAGCCCTTCCATTGTTAACATTCTGTTGCCTTTAGTCTAAGCCCTGGTCAAGCTGAGGGTCCCCTACCCAAAGCCTGTAGGACAAGGGCTGGGGATGAGAAGAATGCATTTAGACAACGGACAACCCTTGTTCCCTGGTTGGGCTCACAGACTGAGTGTGCCCATCAGAAGGGCCTGGGGCTGTGGGATTAGGTGGTTTGGTGTGGGTCTGGAGGGCAGCCCCCAGATTCCTTCTGTCCACTCCCTGAGGCCTAGCAGCCCTTTAAGAGGCCTGGGCCCCTCCTTTCTTTACCCCGAGCCTCACCATTCTCCACAGCCCACCCCAGAGTATACGGGGCCTGACCTTCAAGCCCAGTCACCCCTTGCACCACACCGGCCCTGGCCACCTCCTGCTCCTTGCTGACACTGGCATCCTAATCCCAGAACTGTTTGGGTCTCGTGGGGTCCCTGTCCTCAGGTGCCCTCATCCTGCCCTCCCCCAGCTGTCCCTCTAGGTGCAGTCTGTGAGTGAGATTCATAGGAGGAGAGACCACGTCCAAGTGATTAGCATCAGAAAGGGAGCCGGAAGGCCCCAAAGCTTCTGCCCAAAATAGAATGAGCTGATGGGGATCCACACGTGGGGGCCTGGCCCTGCTGCAGCCAGGCCTCTGCTCACAGAAACCCCAGAGCAACAGGTGGGTGGGGGAGCTCAGCCCCAGTGCACCTACCTCCTCATACAGAGACATGCCCCGGGTAGTGTCCAGGCTGCTGGGTCTCTTGGTCTGAAAACCCAGAGGGCAGAAGTGTGAGCCCTGGGGCCCTGGGCTCCTGGGCTCCTGCTCACCCTGCTCTAAGGGCCCCTGCCCGCCCCCATCTCCCAGAGTTGTGTCACATGTCTCCCTGCCCCCACCCTGGCCTCATCCTTTTGGCTGCACCCCCAGCCCAGCCCATCTCATCTCACCAAGCGCCTCTTCTCCAGGCAGATGTTGAAGCTTCGGGTCACGTTGGGCACCAGCTTCTTCAGGGGCACTCGAAGCTCACCCAGGGGCTCTGCCCGCCTCCGCAGGCGGGACTCTTCACACACACACAGCCTGGTCCCAGATCCCGGTTCCGGTCACTGCTCAGCTTTCTCCAGGTTTTGCCCAGTCTTTAGCCCCTCTCCCAGGGCTATGGACCCTTCTTCTGCCCAGCTCTACCCCCCCACACACACACACTCCCCCACCGTGTCCACTCTTTGTTTTCTAGCCTATCTCTATCCCGGTGCTCTCTGTCCTCCATTTCTCCCATCTCCCTCAGCTCCCAGACTTCTCAAAGCTAGAAGGGCTTCAAAGTTGAGCCCTACCAGGGGATTCTGCACTGGGAGTGAAGGGCATAACCTTGTTTTCAATGCAGCTGTTGGCAGAGCTGAGGAAGGGAGGACGAGCAGAGACCCAGGAACAGTGGGAGACCAAGCAAGCTAGGGAAGTTGCCGTGGGGCGCGGAGGGGCAGATGGGTCCATCTGGTAGCTTCCCAGCTTAACTAATTATTCTTTTTAACTGGCTGATTGTTTCCAAGCATCTGAAGGACTAAAAATGTTGCCAGTGCCCTCTGTAAATTTCAGCACCCTGGAGAAGCATTCTGATCACCTCACCCTAGTTACAGCTCTGAGTCAGGTTGTACTTTGGGCAGAGTCTAGCTACTTTGGCCCCTGGCTGACCATGGCCATTACATGCCCTCTTGGTGGGTACATGGGGCGGGGGGGGAGGGCTTGCCTCCTTCTACCTAAATCCAGTGTGCCCCTTTCTGCCGTTGAGAGGGGGGCTTTCCTGTCTTAGTGGCCCTCCTAGGCTGACTAAAGCCCCATAAGGGCAGGGACCTGGTGGTCTCATGTTTCCATCCCTCAGTCCCAGCACTGGCTGAGGTTTACAAAGCGCTTTGCAGACACTTTCCTTCTGGAGCATGACTTGGAGATGTAAGGGATCTCTGGGGTTCAATCCTCCCCGGCACCCTGGGGGCCCTTCCCCCATTCTCACTGCTGGAGCCTCCAGGACCAGCCCACTTTCTCTTCCAGTCCCACCTCTCACACCCATCCCTGATGGCGAGGCTCATGTACCACCTCTGGCAGGTATAAATGTTCTGCAGCTTAATCACCCCCTATGTCCCAGTGTAAGGGGGTACCATCCAAGAAAGTTGTGCCCGGGAGATGCAGACAGCTCCAGCTGAAAGATAACCTGGGGGCTCCCTTGGAACGTTAAAGGACCCCAGGAGGGCCAGGAGGCCTGGCCAGGGCCCCTAGGCAGAGAACACATGGCAGGAAGCTCACCAAAGAGTCTTGCGTCCGGCGTCCTGGCAGGTGAAGCCGTGGTAGGTAAGTGTCTCATCCCAGCGTGGCCCCTGGCTGCCCCTCACCGTTCGAGTACGCAGCTGGCTTGCCTGGGGGGCACAGGGCAGAATGGCTGAGAAGGGGGCCAGGGACCAGTTCAGGAGGGCTAGGAGCTCCCCACCCTGGCCACTGCATTGTACCTGCCCCCTGGGCTGGTGCATGGGAGGCCTTGGGCAATGAATATCCTCAGCCTCTGGGTAGCAGAGCACCCTTTCTGTGGTTCAGAGTGGGGCCTTCCTCTGTTTCCTGTCTGGAAAGGTCAGCCCGGGCATGTTCACTGCCCACATGACGCCCTGCTGTTCCTGCCTCTGAAATCTCTCTGGAATCTGCTCCTCCCACTATGACACTCACAGCAGTGACCAAGACCAGGACCAGGACCACATGAGGCCCCCATCAGTGGTCTTATTCTGAAGATCGTAACAGTCTCCTGACTGCTCTTTTTGTCCTGGTCACGTCCTCATCCCCTTCCTCCTGCCCATCTTCCTCAAACATTGTGGCATAGTGGAAAGGGTCTGCGTTTGGAGCAGAGGACCTGGGTCCAAACCTGCCTCTCAAAGCCTCCGTTTCCTCATATGTAAAATGGGGAAAATAATGTGTACTTTCCACTTACAAGATGTTCTTCAAATTTGGAAATGCTATTTAAATGTAAGATGATTATTACTGTTATGTCACATCCTGACCCAAGAATCTTGAAAAGCTCCCTCTTGCCAACAGAATAAATCCAAAATCCTTTCTCTAGCATTCTAGGCTCCAACCTCCTATCCAGCCTTAGCTGCCATTGCGTTCCTGTTTCACTCACCTCATCACTGTTCTTCCCACATTCGTGCTTCATCCTGCCCACAGGCCTTTGTTTAGGCTGTGGCCTCCACCTGAAACACCCTTTCCCCTACTTATCCTTCACAGCCCACCTCCTTCAGGAAGCCTTCCCTGATCACTGCAGCCCACAAGGATCTCAGCCTTGTCATACTGTTGTTCAGTCGCATCTGACTCCATGTGACCCTGTGGACCACAGCCCGCCAGGCCCTTCTGTCCTGCACTGTCTACCAAAGTCTGTCCACACTCATGTTTACTGTTTCTGTAATGCCATCCCTCCATCTCATTCTCTGTCATCCCCTTTTCCTTTTGCCTTCAATCTTTCCCAACATCAGGGTCTTTTCCAGTGAATCCCATCTTCTCGTTATGTGGCCAAAGTATCTAAGGTTCAGCCTCGGTATTTGTCCTTCCGGTGGGTGGTCTGAATTAATTTCTTTAAGTGCTGCCTGATTTGACCTCCTCGCTGTCCAAGGGACTCTCAAAATCATTAGAAAGCATTGATTCTGCAACACTCAGCTTTCCTTACACTCCAGCTCTCACAGCCATACGCTGCTGCTGGAAAAACCATAGCTTTGACTCTATGGATCTTTGTCAGCAAGTGACGTCTCTGTTTTTTAGTCTGCTGTCCAGCTTTGCCATAGCTTTCCTTCCAAGAAGCAAGCATCTTTTAATTTAAATTTAATACTGGAGTGGTTTGTCATTTCCTTCTCCAGCTCATTACATATGAGGAAACTGAGGCAAGGAGTTAAATGACTTGCCCAGGGTCACACAGCTAGAAAGTGTCTGAGGTGGGATTTGAACCCATGAAGATGAGTCTCAGTGACTCTGGCCGGTGCTCTGTCTGCTGTGGTGCCACCTAGCTGTCTTCAGCCTTCTTTGATCTCAGGCAGTTACAGCCAGTGCCCTGAAATGTACTCTAAGGCAGGTGACTATGGAATTTTTGTTAGAAGGGACCTTCAATCATTCTGCATCCACCAGGCTTGTCTCCCTGACATCCTATGAGTTCCTTGCAGGCAAAGGCAAGATGGTAGCTGAGAGAAGGCAGCTGGGGAAAAGTCCAGTCCGCTATCCCTAGGCTGTGTGCTCCACCAGACCCAGAGGACCCGGCATCGTGGCTCCCTTGAGTGTCTGCCCCCCTTCTGGTCCTCTGCTTCCTCTCCTGGAGGATGAAGCCCCTGGGGGTCCCCTCTGGCTCCCCCCTTCCCTAGCCCTTCCCTGCCATTTACCTTGCTCGTTCCTGGCAACAGATTTGCCTTCACAAAGGTATCGATGGAGCCTGAGTCCAAGGGCTTCAGACCCTGGAGGACAGAGAGAGATGGCCATCAGTTTCAGAGGGGGCCAGGGGCCTTCAGGGACAGGGCATTGGGGGGAGTTGCTGCAGCCTGAGGCCCCCCCAGCCCCACCCTCTCACCTTGGCCCGATGGATCGTGCAGTGCAGGACGCAGTTCTGCTGGTCCAAGAGGAGGGTGAATTCAAGGGAGCCCAGGGCAGCTGGGGGAGAGAGAGGGGCCTGTCCGTGAGGTCCGGGCTCTCCTGGCCTCCTTGGAGTCCCGACTGAAGTGCCGCCTTCTCCAGGAAGCCTCTCTCAATCCTCCCCAGTTCTCATGCCTTCTCTCTGTGGACTGTTGCTTCTTTGTCCTGTCTGCAGCTGGTCTGTACACAGCTGTGTTGTCTCTCTTATTAGATTGTCAGCTCTTCAAGTCTCTCTGTGTCTGTCCAGTGTTTAGCATAGTGCCTACCACATAGTAGGCACTTACATGAGTGTTTATTGACTGACTGGGGGCTGAGGGAGGTCTCAGAACCTGAAAGGCTCCTAGAAGAAGATGGATGACTTACCAGAGCCCAGTGTCCACACCAGGACTGGGGGGCCCCTGTCTTCTACGGGGCTCTTAGTTGGAAGGGCAGTAGAAATGGGGGAGGGATCCCCAAGATCTTCCTCTGATTCAGCTCCCCACATCCATGTGACCCCCTCCACCCCAATGGAACCAGCTGGACCGCAATGCGTCGAGGGCCCAAGGTAGGGTCACCTCTCCCTCCCGTATCCCTGATGGAGCTCCAGATGAGAGCAGCTGTGTGTGTGTGTGTGTGTGTGTGCACGCACACGCGCATGTGCTTGCCTGCACCCAGCTGTCTGTGAGCTCCAGCACAGGTGGGTTCATGGGTTGTATATGTTAGAAATGTGAAACTGACCTATTCAAGGTGCTGTCATCTGAGCCCCCCTTCCTGGGCTAGGTACCTGGCTAGGGAGCTTCTTGCCAGGCCTTGCTCAGGCAGACAAGGACGAGGGAGGGCAGAATGATAGGGCTCCCCCTCCCTCCTTTCCTTCCCACTCCACCCCCTGGCAGACCCCAGGGACCGAGCACTCACTGGTCTCATCTGAGTCTCCATCCTGCTCCTCCTCCAGGCACTGGCAAAGCTGAGAGCCTCCAGGCTTTGCTGTTGGAGTTCCGTCTTCCTCCATTGGGCTACCCAAGGCTGTTTCTGGGGCTCGACCATTGGGAAGTGCAGGCAAGGGGGCTGAACGGGGACGGAGAAGGGCAGGAGCAAAGGGGTAGAAATGGGGGAAGTAGTCGGAGATCTGGCGAATGGGACTGATGGGGCCTGGGCTCACGTTGATGGCCATATGCTCCTGCATGGTGACCTTCTCCCCACGCGCGCCAGCCATGGCCAGGGATGCGGAAGGCCAGAAGGTCCCCTGCGAGGGTTGGTGGAAGGTCAGGGAGGTCTTGGTGTGAGGTGGGGGCTGGACACGGCGGAGGGTAAATGAGGGGAGAGGTCAATGGTAGGAAGGTTGGACAAAGGGGAATGGTCAAGGGGAGTGGGCAGGACCTGGGAAAGGTCAATGTGAAGAGGGGGCCAGCTAGAGGAGAGAGGCCAATAGCAAGAAGGCTGGATGAAGGGGAGGGTTCAATGTGGTGGGAAAGGTCAGTGTGATGAAAGGACAAGCCAGAAGGGAGTGCTCTGGGATGGACCCAGAACTCAGCTGGCTGGAGTGGAGGGGAGCCCCTTCAGGAGGACGGGACCCTGGGGGCTTTGCCTCAGGCACAGGTGCTGGCTGGCAGCTTGTGGTGAATCGCAGCGGCTTCAGCTTGTCAGCTCAGCCACAGCTGGGGGGCCGGGAGCAGAGAACCAGCCTCTGGGGCTTGGGCTGGGTGCATTTTGGGCAGGGGAGGACCAGACCCCAGGTAAGGTTATGTTCTGGTCTGTTAATGGAGGGTTGGCCATCCTGTTGACCAGGGCTTATACATTTGTATTTGGCTGGGGGTCTATGGGGGTCACCTTGTGGAGGGGAAGTCTCCTGTCTGGGGAGAAGTCTTTCTTAGAGGGCAGTCTCTTGGGCAGCAGCGGGAGGTCTCAGTGGAGAGTCCACAGGTCCTAGTTTGGGGGCACGTCTGTCAGAGGTTTCTGTCCTGGGCAGCAGATGGGGGTCTCTTCCCTATTGGAGTATAGGGATGGGGGAGGTTTGGTGTTAGGAGAGGCTGGGGGTCTTGGCCCTGGTTTGGGAGGATACCGTCCTGGGCTGGGCTTTCCCGCCTGGGGGTCTGAGATAGAGGCAAGGTCAGGGGCTTCTGGAGCCTCCGGGGGGGTCGTGGGGGTGCGCTCTCCTCTGTGTCCCACGGGGCAAGAGGACTTACCTGGCTCTTGGACTGACAGGCAAACACGGGACTGGACCAACTGCCTTCAGGCTCCGCGTCCGACTCCTGCCAGCTGCCCCTATGCTGCTGCTGCCGCTACTGCGTGTCTGTCTCCTACCCGGACTCCAGCCTGGACCGTGTCTGTGGCCGCCCCGTGTCCTCCGGCGCAGCGCTACAGGAATACACACCGACAGGCACACACACACACACACACACACACTGACAGGCGCGCGCTTGTGCGCACACACATGCACACATACAGCCTGAGACACACTAAGATGAGACATTCATCTCCGCTCCTCCCCACCCTCCCAATACACTAACTATATCTGATATTGAGACGTTGGTACCTACCGACTGTGTGCCCCCCTCCCCACCTCATACACTGACAAACACGCCTACTGATCACCCCGTGCGTGATGACCCCAGAGTCAGGGCCACTATCGGACTTAGACGCTGACACACACAGACAACGCTCACGGGGAAAGGCGTGTGACTGACTCAGAACAAACCCTCTGGGAGAGACCTTGCCTATGCCAGAGCCCAGGAGCCCCCTTCCCTTCCCTAGGCAGCCCTAGACACCCCATGCTCCACCCCCTCTCCTTCCCATCAAGACACCGAGACACATACACCCTCATACATGACACACAGGTGCTCTGAGGACTGGGTCAGAGGATGTTGTCTCTTGGGGTCTGCGGGAGAGGACTTTCCTCGGGGCTCTCAGGCCCCTCCCTCCCATCTGCCCTAGCTCCCTCTTCTCTTTTCAGACCCGACTTTGAGCCTCTACCTCCAAGTGGTCTGGGACCTTCCCTCCCCCAGACACCTCTGACTTGATCCGTGTCAAGTGGAGATATTTTTAAAAAGTAATTTATTCTTGCTAACTGCCAACAAAGGTGAGAAATAGAAAGGAGAGGGGGACAGGAAGCCTAGAGGGGGAGAGGAGGGAAGGCAGTTACTAAGACCAAACAGGGCTGCAGCAGGCTGGAAGGGATGACTTGGTTTCCTCCCCCATTCTTCCTCCCCCTTCTCAAGCCCCTCACCTTTTCCTAGCTGCCTGGTCACTAGCCCCTGGCCCATAGCCCAGTGCTGTAGGTGCCACAGGAATATCCTTGGTTTCTACTAGGGCTAAACTCTTGGGGCATGGGCCTGTTCTGAATATTTTCCCCCTGTTCCTCTGTGCTCTTCTACTGAAAGGCTCCCACCAGAGCCTGGCCCCCTCCTGGAATCTCCTCTGCTCTGGGACTCTCCTTTCCAAGGTGGTCAGGAGGCAGTCTGGGGCCCAACCTAGACTCAGGGGCTGCCTTGTTGATCTGCTTAGCCAGGCTTTGGGGATGAGGATTGGAATCAGGACGCATCGGACTCAAAGGGCAGACTGGATGTCCAGGCCCACCCTTCACACACCTGTTGGCAAGCTGGGGGGGGGGGGCTGCTGGGAGAGACCCACAGTCACACAGCAATAGTCTGAGGCACTAGAACTGGGCTGGACCAGTCAGTCAGTAAGTATTTATTATGCTTTTACATGCCAGGGACTGTGCTAAGCTCTGGAGATACAAAGAAGGCAAAAAACCAGAGTCTCTGCCCTCACATTCTATTTGGGGAAACAACATGTAAATAAGTAACTACATACAAGATATCGAGAGTAGACGAAGGAGTGGACCCGAGGTCTCCAGGCCTGTTAATGATTCCTTCCTCACATTTGTATGGACTTTCAAGATCACGGGTTCAGAAAATCCTGGAAAGACTCACATGAACTGATGCCGAGTGAAGTGAGCAGGACCAGGGGAACATTGCACACAGTGACCAACGCTGGGTGGTGACTGGCTTTGGTGGACTTGGTAGAATGGCTGTAATGGGCTGCTGGAGATGTCTTGTGTTCCCACTGCTCATTCCTGCAGATTCTTTGTGGCCTGAGCATTTTCTGGGCCAGAGTAAATCGAGTGTTGCTCCAGACTGGATACCTACTGTGTACACTGAGTACTTTTTCTAGAAGGAACCCTGTGACCCACATTTTGGGGAGACCCTAGATATGAGCTCCACCTGTGCTTTGCTTTTGGGTTTTCCCTGAAGTTTATTACAGAGTGGAGGTGGGAGGGAGGGAGGGGAGGGAGGGAGGGAGATGAGAGAGAGAGGAGGGAGGGAGAGAGAGAAGGAGGGAGGGAGGGAGAGAGAGGGAAGGGAGGGAGAGAGGAGAGGAGGGAGAGGGAGGGAGGGAAAGGGGAGAGGGGGGAGAGAAGAGGGAGGGAGAGAGAGAGAAGGGAGGGAGAGAGGAGAGGAGGGAGAGAGGGGAGGGAGGGAAAGGGGAGAGGGGGGAGAGAGAGAGAGAGGAAAGGGAGGGAGGGAGAGGGGGAGGGAGGTAGAGAGGAAAGGGAGGGTGAGAGAGAGAAGCCTGATTTCCATTGGGATCAGGTGCCCTCCAGTCCTGGGTGAATCCAGGTCTTGAACCCCTTGCGGGGCACTGTGGGCCACGTGTTTCAAGCTCAGCTCCTTCCTAAAGCCTTCCCCTGATCCTCACCCCGTTTGTCAGCATTCTCTGGTTCTCTGTCTCCTCTCAAATTACTTTGTATGAACTTGTCTGTATATATGTTGTAGGAAGTAGCCTGATAGTGGAGTCTGTGAACTTGTTTTTAAAAAAATTTAATAACTATTTTAATGTAACTGGTTTCTTTTGCATCCTATATATTTTACTTTATACATGACTCTGCAACGGGATCCCTAGGCTTCCCCAGATCACCACAGGAGTCTGTGGCACAAGAAAAGGTTGAGTCTCTGGTTGAGGGGGCAACTAGGTGGCTCAGTGGATAGAACTCTGGCCTTGGAGTCAGGAGAACCTGGGTTCAAATCCCATCTCAGACACTTCGCACTTACTAGCTGCAAGTCACTTAATCCTCATTGCTTCACCAAAAAAAAAAAGTCTCTGGTTGAGGGCTGGTCTGGGTTCAAATCCTGCCTCTGACACTCACATCAGATGGGCCCCTTTGAACCTGCCAGAAAAGAATAAGGGGAAAGCAAAAATTCCCGACTGCTCACTGCCTTTGAGGTAGGCAGCTCCTGTTCCTCACTCTCCAAGCCTCCTTCCACCCCTTAGATCTTATGCTTTTGTCAAGGGAAAATCCCAGATTCCTATTTCCTCCTGCTTTGGGAGTTAAAATATAAAATCAACAAAATTCGCTTTCACTCGGTTGTAGAGCTCGTAGCTGGAATATGACCCTAACACTGAAGAGAGAGTAGTATGCTCACTGTCCATTTATTTCCTATCATTAGCAATTTGCAGTAATGAAATACATGCAAATTAGGAGCTGCTGGGGCTGATACGGCATTCAGAGTTGATTAAACAGAGATTTAAGCAAACTGTGAAGAATGAAGGCAAGTGTGGGAATGGGTGGTCACTCTTCCTGGGGAGGAGGAGAGGTGAGGAGAGAGGGCTACATCACCTTCGGCTCTTGGCAAACAGCTAGCTCTAGGTCTCCGCTCTGGGCTCTGGGCGGCTTCTGCTGGATTTAACCCCTCCCCTTCCAGTAGTAAGGACGGCGCTGGCCACTGGTGTGGTGGTGCTGATGCCCAGCTCCCCGTCATCTCTCTACTTCTCGTTTCCATTCCTTCCCCCTTACTGAACAGTGCGGAAACTGCACGGCTCCCAAAGCTCCCTACCCGTGCTCACTTCTTGCCCCTTTCAAGGTTCCCACTTTCCTTCTCTTTCAGGAAGAGAGAGAGCCCACTCTTTTCCTGGGGCAGTGATGGCCTCACTGTTCACAGGAGCTCACGTAAATGGGCCTTGGGAGCTTGATTTCTGCTGGCAGAAGCTGATCTTTATTGTTGGTCCCGGTAAAATGAGGTGTTTAAGTTCTGAGTCCATGATGCCTCAGTGACTATGGTGCATCACTGAACCCTTCTGAGCCTCAGTTTCCTCCCCTGTAAGGCAGTTTGGCTGGCCAGGAAAGTACGTGAAGCAGAGTAATATGGAATCAGTCTGGAGAGGCAGGTTGGAGCCAGACTATGAAGGACTTTCAGTGCTGGAGATGTCTGTACAGTGTTTTTACCTCGAGGCAGTAGAGAACCATCTTGGGCAGAAGAGTAGCATGATCAGATCAGGAGTATCGAGCTGGCAGCTGGGGGGGAGGGTGAATCAGAGAAGGGGGAGAGAGGCAGGCAGAACAGTGAGGAGGCTGTTACACTAGCCTGGGAGAGAGGTGATGAGGGCTTAGGGTAGTGGTTGTGTGAGTAGAGAAGGGAAAGGAAGTGAGATATGGAGGAAGAATCAACCAGACTTGGCAGCTGACTGAATGTGGGGGATGAGGGGTGGGTGCCTGGAGGGAAGGTAGTGCTAATGGAAAGGAGGATGTTCGGAGAGCTAGCACCCACAATGTCCTTTGCTGGCATCCCATCATATTTGGGAGATGCTTTTATTAGGAAGGATATTGGCAAGCTGGAGCCTGTCCACAGGAGGTTGACCAAGATAAGGAAGGGGCTCAAGAACATGTCACACAAGTAGGTGACAGAGGGGGCATGATCCTGTAAGAATACAGGCAGGAGAGGGTGAAGCTTTAGTTGAACTAGGCTGGGGACAAGAGGATGAACAGAGTGAGAAGAGATCGCTGCTCAGGGTGGAATGGGTAGTAACAGATGATAGAGAGAAGGTAGAATTCAATCCTATTTTACCTCTTTTCTTTCCTTTTTCTTTTTTTCATAACAAGCCTTTATTTTACACACATTTTTTCCCCTACTTAGTAGTATTTTATTTTTTCCAATTACATGTAAAGATAGTTTTCAACATTTCACTTTTATAAGATTTTGAGTTCCAAATTTTTTGGAACTCCCTCAAGACAGGAACCAATCTGATATAGGCTATACATATACAATCATATTAAACACATTTCTGCCTGTTGTCATGTTGTGAAAGAAGAATCAGAACAAAAGGAAAAAAAACACAAGAAAGAAAAAAACAAAAAAAGAGAGAAAATAGTCTGCTTCAATCTGCATTCAGACTCTGTAGTTCTCTCTCTGGAGGTGGATGGCATTTTCCATCCTGAGTCTTTTGGAGTTGTCTTAGATCTGTGCATTGCTAAGGAGAGCTAAGTCTATCAAAGTCGGTCATCACACATTGTGGCTGTTACTGTGTACGGTGTTCTCCTGGTTCTGCTCACTCCACTCAGCATTAGTTCATATAAGTCTTCCCAGGTTTCTCTGAAATCTGCCTTTTTGCCTCTGTTTTCTCCACGAAAGGGGAAAATCTTTAGTCAGAGAAGATAGGACAAAAATAGCAAATAGGGCTTTAAAACCTCAAGAGGTAAATGGCATGAGAACATGTAGGGTTTGAGCACTTTGCATCCCAGACACATTGAAAAAACTGGTTGATGGGAAGGTTGAGCCAATGTTGCCGGGGGTTTTTTCTTTGAGGCAATCAGAGGTAAGTGACTTGCCCAGGGTCACATAGCTATAGTGTCACCGTTTCTGAGGCCAGATTTGAACTCAGGTCCTCCTGACTCCAGGGCCAGTGCTCCACCCATTGTGCTACTTAGCTGCCCCTCAGTGTCAATGGTTTTGGAGACCACAGAGAGCAGATGTTGTGGGACATGAGAAGGGAAGGTATTCCAATTTTCAAGAAAGGCAAAGAGAACAGATTGTTCAAACTGTGGTCTGGTGCACTTGACTTTGTACCCTGGCATCATTCCACATCTGGGATATATTTATTATTAAACAGTTGTCTTCTGAGGATTTGAAAAGGGAAGCAGTGATGACTAGGAGCTAGCATGTCTTCATCAAGAAAAGGTCATGTTGAGGGGCAGCCAGGTGGTGCAGTGGATAGAGCACCGGCCCTGAAGTCAGGAGGACCTGAGTTCAAATCCGCCTTCAGACCAAACACTTGACACTTACTAGTTGTGTGACCCTGGGCAAGTCACTTAACCCCAATTGCCTTAAAAAAAAAAGTCATGTCAGACTGATCTTCTTTCTTTAGGCCAGGGTGATTACTCAGGGGGCAGATACTGGGGACAGGGTAGACCTGGGTTTCTGCAAAACATCTGACACAATGTGGTCAGTACATGATATGTTTAATATTCCTGCTTTTCGACGTTTTTTGGAGATCCTTATGACTTAATATGTAGTTAATTGTAAAGGTACAATATACGGCTTAGCAGTATGTAAATTTCTTTCTGTCTCCATTCAGTAATCCCTAGTTCTTATGTCTTTAATTTTTCTAATGTTATATTCTGATGTTCATTCTTTTTTGTTTATGATCTGAAAGGGGCTTATTCTAGTCAATATTTTAATCAAAGATTTGGACAAAAAGTGCTTATCAAATTTTCAGAAGACACAAAAGTAGAAGGTAGGAGGGATAACTATCACGTTTGATGAATGAGGGATAACTATCACGTTTGATGAATGAAAGAGGATGCGGAAAGCTCTCGTTTGTCTAGAATGTTGGGCCAAATTGAATAAGGTGTAATATAGATATTGTCTTACATCCTCGGGTTCAAAAAGTCAACCACACAAGGACAAGTCCACGCAGCGTGGCTGGACAGCAGTCTGTCTGAACACAATCCACTGGAGGGTGTTTGTGAGCCCTCCCAAAGTGGGCGGGGCACCTGCCCCTCCCTGCAGACCTTCAAGCAAAGACAGGATGATTCGATGGACTTCCTGGTCAGGAACACTTTGGGCCAGATGACCCCTTCCAACCCAGTGGGTCCAGCCCATCCAGGGCTTGTCTGGAATGCTCGGTGTGCGTCTGTGTGGGCTGCTGAGGTAGGGAATCCAACCCAAGGAACCTCTATCCAGTGCCTGCTCGGATCCAGAGACAGAATAAAGCAGGATCCTTCCCCTCAGGGAGTTTCCATTGAGCCAGACACAACTTTTCAGATCAAAGAAGGCAGCCTTTATTGCACTGAGCCGTGCTGGAGTTAAGTTGATTGTCTGGGGTCGATGGAGGGACAGGTCTCCGGTCAGTCAGTCAGTCAGTTAACAGACATCTAGCAAGGGCTTGCTATGTGTCCAATTCCCTGTGCTATGCACTGAGATACAAAGTAAGGCAAAAAACAGGCCCTGCCCTCAAGGAGCTGACATTCTAACACATGACAGACCGCCACAGACCATCCACGCAATGCCACAGAGTCAGGAGATGGGACGTGTGTTCCAGGAATGGCAAACAGGGCCAGTAAAGACAGTGAGATTAGGCCGAGCTCAGCGGCGCCCCAGCCCAAGAGAGCAGAGAGAGGAACTCCTCTGATCCTTTGAGTGACGGCTCTGGCCAGCGCAGACAGCACCTCTGGCTTTTTCCTGTTTGTGTGAAAACCTGGCTCGTGGCTGACCGGGAAGGACAAAGAGGTCCCGCCATCCTGGATCCCCAGCTGGCTTGGTCCCTCAGCTACGCGAAGGCACAGGAGGCAAAGTTCTCCATGGCTTCTCCGCACAGCTCAACTTTCTGTCCTCTATGTCCCGGTCTCTCCTCTCCTCTGCGGCCCGGCAACGCGGGTCATGCGGTGGTAAGTGCCCGGCACCAGCATCTCCAGCGTGAGCTCTGTGAAGATGGCCGTGAGGCCCCAGATGCGGTAGGGGCCATGCAGGAAGACGGGCAACGTGTATTTATAGTGGCCCTGATGGCAGAAGTGGGTGTAGCCCTGGTTCCGGGGGTGCAGCAGGTGGGCCAGGGGCATGGTGAAGATGTCATCCACCTGGTAAGAAAGGAGAGCGTACACCACTGGAGCCACGGCACGGCGGCGATTCTGTACAACATGTTTACCCGCCATTCGAGGGCAATGCCGTGCTGAGTCCTGAGGGGTGCAGAGAAGGGAAGGCGGCCCTGGCTGGCGATGGCCTTGCCCTTGGGAGGAGCCACAGCTTGGGTGCACGTACCATCTCCTACTCTGGACTGCGCTCATCTGTACATGGCAGATCCTGGCCAATATAAGGAAGGAAAAACCCAACTTTTCTTCTAAGGGAGCTTTGTACACAGGCAGTGCTTCATACATGCCTGCTGAACTAAATCTAACTGTCCCAAAGTGGAATGGGCTGCTCTGTAAGGTAGTGAGCTCCCCGTCACACAGCACTGCGATAGCAGAAGGTCCCTTTGAAGCCAGCTAGCCCAAGCTATTCTCCAGAACAGCCTTAGCCTCTGTTCAGAGGGGAAGTCCACCCCCTCCCATGGCAGGCAGGCCATTCTGCGCTGGGAGAGGTCTAACCCTCCTCACGCTGCCCAGGAGAGCGGCTTTCATTCTGGGCGAGTGTAAGCTCCGGGAGGGCAGGCACCGCAGCTTCTCTCAGGCTTGGGGCTGAGCCCAGGGCTCACACACAGCAGATGTTTGCAGCAGGGTGTGTGCTGGGCAGGGACCGGCTTGGTGGTGCTGGGGTCGGGGCTACCAGCCACAATGGCTCGGGGCCCACTCACCTCCTGTGGGTTAGGCATGAGGTCCAGAGACTCCAGGGGCCCCACCTGGGCAATGACCGGGACAATGATGAAGTTCTTCTGTAAGCAGAACACGAAGGATCCCAAGTTTAGAGCAGGAAGGGACCCTGGAAGCCATCTTCTAGAAAAGGACACTGAGGCAGATGGCAATGAAGTATCCAAGGTCACACAATGCTCGAGGCAGGATGTGAACCCAAGTCTTCCTGACCCAATGGAAGGGCAGCCAAAGACACAGTGGAGCATAGCCTGGGTCCAAATAAAGGCCCCCTTTCCTGGGTAGGGAAGGGGCTGCTCCTTCAGACGTCATCTGGCTCAATGCAGGAGCCCAGCTCCACATCTCTGGAGGGTGGAAAGACTGAGGCAGCCTGGCTGTCAGACCGGAGGCCCTCTCAGCCTCATGGTCAGGGTCGCAGGAAGGGCAGCGCTTACCCCGTCATTCACTGGCTTCATGACACCCCACACGTTCTCTTCCTGGATGGGCAGGCCTAGCTCTTCCCTTGTCTCCCGGAGAGCCGTGTCGACAATATCCTGGTCCTGAGGGTCACACTTGCCCCCTGGGAAACTGAGGCACAAAAACATGAGAAAGGCCCTCCATCCCTTGCCCCTCCTGCTGGGGGCAGCAAGGAGATACAGGGCACTGGGGACAGGCAAAGAATGTGCCACCAGGAGAGGCTGACCTGGGAAAGGCGGGGACGCTCCAGGGAAGCGGCATCTCTCACCCTGGACACCACCTGGTCCTTCCTAGCAGCAGAAGCCCCGTGCTTCTGGGTTCTACAGACAGGAGCTCCTTCTGTTCTAACGTTCTATGTTCCAAGGTCCCTTCCAACCCTGACAGTTAACGTTTTCAGGCCCTTCTCAGCTCCCGCATTCCACATTCTGAGGCCTCTCCCGGTTCTCTGACATTCTACGTCCTAAGGTCCCTCCCAGCTCCTGCATTCCACGTTCCAATGTTCCCCCAGGTCTAACATCCCATGTCCTATGTTTCCACACATGTGCTCCCTCCATCAACTCAGACCCAAACCCAAGAACAGCCTGCTGTCCAGAGGCCGGCACTCAGAGGGGCATGAGCCTCTCCCTGGACCCGGAGCTGGGCTGGCCCATGACAATGGACACCCCGTCGGGCGGTGCTGGCCCTGGCCTCTTCGGGCCTGGTACAAGCACGCTGACAATACTGTGTCCAGACAGCGGTGGTGAGCTTGGGAGATCCCAGGTTCACCGGGGGCTCCTCTGGACTGCTCACCTGCAGGGGGACCCTCCAGGCCACAACAAAGGCCACATTGTCTGACTCAAGGCCAGACAATCACCGGATGTCAGAGGCGGAAGGGTCCTTAGCCACCGATCCTCCCATTTTACAGAGAGGAAACCTGAGGCCTGGAGGGGAGATAACTCACCCAGGTCGGTAGGCCCTGAGCCCGGGGACCTGACCCCCAAGTGCCACTAGGTCCCCTCCAAACCAGCCTGCCCACGGGGTCCTGCCGCTTGGGGAAGCTGGGTGGCCAAGGCTGGCCATGGCTCCCGCGCCTGCCCAGGGTACCTGACATCCCCTTTGTGCCTCCCAATGAGGCGGCTGGAGCGGAGCGTATAGAGCAGGGATGGCTCTCCATGCACGGAGCACAGCGGCACCAGCACGGCTGCAGAGGCTTCCCTGTGGCGGTATCTGGCCGTGCTGGCCTCCAGCAGCTGTCGGCAGCGCAGTTCATTGGCGCTGGACAGGGAGTGGCGCACGGCCTCTTCTGGGCTCAGGGCACCATTCCCCACCCAGGAGCTGGGCTGCCTGCTTGCCAGGCGCAGCGTGGGCAGCATGGTGCCTCGAAGCTCTGCAGAGGGAAGGAGGCCCAGGTGAGATAGCGACTCTCCCTCCCCGGCTTGGCGCTGGCTGCAATGTGGGAAATGGGCACAACCCAGTTTATGGCGAGGCCCCAACAGACTGAGCCCTGGTGACACGGGCTACTGGCTGGGTCTGTGACCTTGGATAGGTGCCATCCTCTCCCCAGGCCTTGGACTCCTCTTCATTAAAGGTTTCCACAGCCAGTGGGGGTGTGTCACCCCAGGACCCATTCATGCCCAGGCCAGGTGCCATCTTTCCCCCTACCCATTAACAGTAAATGCCCTGAGGTCTCCTGGGGTGGGCTGGTCCACACCATGGGTGCCTGAACTCCCCCTCCTCCTTTTCTGCTGGGGCTCCCCTCAGCCTGGCTGTCCTCTGCTCACTCCTCTTATCACCCCCACACACAAACCCTTGGCCCCATCTGCCGAGTCCCCATCCCCACCTTGGCCCCTGTGCCTCTCCCCTGCAGTGCCTCCCGCCCCCCCCCCCCCCCCCCCCCCCCCCCGCCACTCTGTCTCTCTCCTGTCCAGGCCAACCTTCACACAGAGGCCAAAGTGATGGGGTCAGACTCTTCCCTGCTCACGAATCCCAATTAACTTGAGGCTGAAACACAAACTCCTGTTTGGCATCTAACCGCCTCCCCCTGCGGCTCAGGACACAGGACAGGTGCCTTGTGCTTTAGGCAAATGGGCCTTTGGGGGGATTTTACAAATGTCCAAACTCTGCTTGTGATTTTTTGCTTTCAGGCCGCAGGCCAGGCCGATGGCCCTCCCGGGAGCACAGGCCGGCCCCAGCCCTTGGAGGCTCCCTTCTCTGGGGCCTTAGAACGCCCTGTTCCCTTCCAAGCCTAGCTCCCCGGCCGGGGGGCGGGGGGGGGGGAGGCGCTGCTACAGGAGGTGGTCTCCTCCCAAATACATTGTATCCAGCTGGTAGCCAGTCCTCGATTTGTTTCCTCCCATAGAATGTAAGGTCCTGGAGGGCGGGCACTCTCCTTTCGGTCTTCATTGCCCAACCCTGCGAAGGGGGGGCTTACCCACCGCAAGTGCTTAAGGAGTGCTTATGGAGATGACTTTGTTGTCTGGGGTCTCCCCCAGCTCCGGTCGTCTCTCTTTTCTCTGAGGTCTCTGCAGCCTGTGCCAGTCCGTATTCTAAGAACCCTCTGTTCTCTGAACCCTGCCAGGAGCACTCCTAGGCTCTGGATTCAAATTCCACCTCTAGCGCGAGCTGTTTAAGCCCCTCCCCCTCCCAGGGCCTCAGTTTCCTGCGCTGTAAAAGGGGAGGGTCGGTCCCGACGGCCTCGGACGTCCAATAGCCGAGCTGCCCCCTCCCGAAGTCTCTTCCTGCCCAACTCCGGGAGGGGCTCGGCAGTTGTCCCGGGAATGTGCCCCACCCCCACCCCCTGTCCCTGTCCTTGTCTTTCCGGGGGGAGCCTGGAAACCGCAAAGAGAGGCAGAAAAGGTTGGGGGGAGGGGCGCGGCGAGGAGGAGTCATTATCAAGGTCAGGGGCAGGTCTGGCCCCTGACCTTTTGAGTCTGCAGTCCGGCATGGGGCGAGCCGGGGTAGGGAGATTGGGGGGAGATCGAGGGGCCCTCCCCCCCAAACACTGACCTGGACCCGCGGCGCCCGTTGCCGGAGCAAAATGGCTGCGGGGGCGGGGCCGGGCCGGGAGGGGCGGGGGTCCTGGCCCGAGAAGGTGTCCTGGGGAGCCCCCGGCCCCGCCCCGGACGGGGCTGTGCGTGTGCGCTGGTGCACGAGTGCACGTACGGAGGGAGTTTGGGGGAGGGGAAGGCTCTGCGGGGGGTCGAAGGTAGTACCCACACACACACCCCGGTCCTGGCTCCACCCCATCGGGGCCCAGGGGCCCTGGGGTTCGGCCCAGGAAGAGGGAGGAGCCTGCCCGCGGCTGGCCAGAGGCCCTGGCGGGCAGATACCCAGATGCGGGCGGGGCTGGAAGGGCAGCATAGTTACCCCGCCCCCCCCCCCGGTCCCGCGTCTTGTCTCTGTGACCTTGGACAAGTCCTTTGCTACCCTCCCCCCCCCAAAAGGGAGCAGGCGTTTTCCTAGATGACCTCAGAGGTCCCTCTAAGGCAGTCATGGCAACGAGCTTTCATTAAGTGCCTACTGTGTACTGGGGATGCAAAGAAAGGCCACAGAGACAGTCCTGCTCCCTTCGAGCTCCCATTGGCCACCTTGCAGAAAGCTGGCACACATGCACTTATCCGCCTGGGTGGAGTCCAAAGGTCACACGGGCCCTTCTCTGCCTCCTGGTGAAGTAAGGGCCCACGTGGACCTGGGGGCATTGCCCCCCCCCAAAAGGCAGCCCCTCCATCCCTTCCTCCTCGGTCTCCGTCCTGGCTCCTAAGGTCCCTAGGCAACCACCCCCCTCCCATTCATGAACTTGGGGAGGGCAGTTTCTCAGCAGGCCCCGTATTCCTCATCCCCACCCCAGGCTGGGGAAGGAGATGACCCCTCTTTGTTGTAGTGGACAGATCTGTGTTCAGATCCCAACCCAGTCATGTGCCTTGTCACATGACCTGAGCCTCAGTTTCTTCATCTGTATAATGGGTAAGATCATACTTTAACTCTGTTTCAGGGCAGTAGGGAGGGAGGCACTTTGTAAACCTGTAAGCCACTTAAATGCCCCCAAATGCCTCACTCTTGATAATGTGGACAATAAAGATTTGTGAAATTGTATCTGACGTTCCCTTCCACTCCTGAGGGGCCATTCTCCACCAAGCCACAGAAGTCTCCTGCCATAGGCCTCCCCTCTACCGATGCCGCCCACTGCGCCATGGATAGCTCTCATGCAGAGGGGGCTTCTCTCTGCCCTCTGTCCACTGCTCTGGGCCAAGGGAAACAAGTCCATCTCTCCCCTAGGAAGGCTTTTCAGACCCCTGAAGGCAGCTGGCAGATCCTTCCCTAAGGCTCCTCCAAGCTACAGATCTTGGATGCCTTTTGTCCATCCAGGCCTGGTACCATCCAAGACCCTTTAGCATCTGCGCCACCTTCCTCCAGGCAGCCTCTAACAAATGGCTGAGATTCCCCGAGATGTGGCCCCCCAGAGCTGGAGCCCACAACCTCAAGGCCGTGTGACCCGACAGAGGAGAGCTGGGCTGGTGCCTGCCCTCAATGCTGCTGAGATGGCCTGGGGGGCTGGGAGGCCTGCCCATACCCACACCCCAGCCCTGACACACTTGAGAAATATTCAAAGGCCACAGATACATCTGCCTGGGCAGAGGATGCTTCTGGATCAGCATCTCCTCCTGCCAATAAAATCACAGGGCCAGTCTGACCCACGGTTCATCCTGCTCAGTGGGGTCCATGGTTCTGGCCTGTCAAGATCTTTTTAGGTCCTGACTGTCCTCCACCGTGTAAAGAAATGAATTAGAGAGGAGTGTAAAGGCATTTACATGGACCCTCCCATCAGCTTCACAACTGCATTCATGCCAATTGTTTAATGTCCAAGGAGAGGAACAGAGACATGAGTCACCACCACCTCCCCACTCCCCCCCAGTTGCTGGGTTCCTGAGGCCTGTGTCCCCTCTGGCCTGGCCTGGTCCTCACCAAACCAGCTGAGTCAGAATAGGGGAGATGGGAGTAACTAGGACAACCCCAAAGACCAGCTTCCAGAGGTCTCATGGTATCTCTCCAATCCACAACAATGGGAAAATGTTGGTCTGCCAGGGGGCAGAGGGTGGGGCTGTATGCCAGGCTCTGATGGCTTTTCTCCCCACCTATATCCTCCTATATCCACCAGCCCAAAGACAGTTTGGAGCCTTCTTCTGGGAGGCCCAATGTGGTGTCTGCACATGACCTCTGACCCTGTGGGCCTAGGTTAGGCCCTCAGTCTCCCTCTTGGGGCAGGTAGGGGTGGGTCACTGATGTTTTTCCCTTTGACCTGGCTGTGTGTGTGGTGGGGGAAGAGGAGGTAGGGGTTGGGGTGCAGGCTGTGGGGGGAGGGCATAGGGGAGCAGGTCCCAGGATGGCTTAAGGAGCAGAGCTGAAGATGATGGTAATTCACTTCGGCATTAAATTCCAGGGGGCCTGAGAGAGAAGAGGAGCCTCTCTGCCCACCCCACTTGACTGCACCCAGGAGGGTAGAAGAGGCAACTGAGGAGTCAGTAGAAATGACAACAGATTGAAAGTCAGGTGACCTGGGCTTAGGACCCCCTCATCTTTTGGGGAAGGTGGATAATGTCTTTGGGCTGGATGGGGACCAAGGTGTGGCTAGGAGGCTAGGAACTGGGGAGGGAAGTTGCAGCTGGGTCTGTCTAGATCACTTCTTTTTTCCCAGGAAACAGGGCCTCAGTTTCTTCATCTGTAAAATGGATACAAGGGGCTAGAAAGAAAGTGACTTGCCCCACAATACAAGATAGGAAGTTGCAAGGGTAGGGTTCAAACTAGGTAGGAGGAAACTGAGTCATGGGGTGGGGGGGCTCCACTGATAGGGGGGCTGGGATCCTGGCCAGGGCCATGGACTCCCCACCCCTGAGTCCAGCCCCTTGACTCCGCCCACACTGGATGCTCACTCCTGGTTCTGGCTGCTTGCCAGGAGGCCCAGGACACTTTGAGGAGGCTGGAGAGGTAGAGCTTCCTGGTTCCCTGCCACCTTGGCCTCAGGGAGAGGGTAGGGGGCTGAGCGGGCCCTGGCTGCAGCCCCTGTGTATGGGCCGTGGTAGGAGATGTAGCCAGTGGGGGCCAGAAGGACCTCTGGGGGCAGATGAGCAGTACTGATCCGGCGGGACCCAGCAAGCTCTCTGGACAGCACGGGGACCACTGGGTGCTGATGGAGCTGGGAGGTGGTCCCAGAGACAGAGGTGGAGAATTTGGGCTGGAAGCTCTGGCCAGGTTTATCCAGCTCTGAGAAAGAAGAAGTTTTCCAGGGTGAGCTGCGCTCAAAGCCTCTGGCATAGGTGTGGGGCTTCGGCTGTCAGCAGGCGCAGCCCAGTTCTGACCCCAAGCCTCCAGAGGAGGGAGGGTGTCCAGGGCACCCAGACTGCCCTGTGGTGAGCCTGAAGCTGGAGGGAAGCTCTGGGTGAAGCTGAGACTTCTGGAGACGGCTTTGGCCCACCTCCTTAGAGCACCCCACTCCTCGGAGGCCTCACAGGGACCTGAGAGTCCATAGAGGAGAGGTGGGATTCAAACCCAAGTTTTCTGACCCCAGTCCAGGGCTTCCCCTCCTCCATACCATGGCACCAGACTGCTATCAAAGCCCTCCTCACTGCTCACAATCAAGAAATCCGACCTGAGGACTTCACTGAGAATCTCCCCCACAGCAGTGACAGGGAGCTCACTACCTCCCCAGGCAGCCCATTCTACTTTGGGGCAGCTCTGACTGGCAGGAAGCCCACCTGCCTGTGTCACTTCCCCAACTCCACCGTTCCAGGCTGTGCCCTGTGGGGCCAAGGTTGTGGTCATCCAGTAGTGAATGACTCTTCATGAAAAGATACTGAAGTGGTTGCCATTTCCTCCTCCAGCCCATTTTACAGAATGGTGAGGAAGAATGTTGTAGTGGAAGGAAAGGCCCTTACCTTTCTCTTCTTGGTGGTCCTCCTTCAGCAGTGGGGCCCGGCTGCTCTGGCTCCTGCTCTGGCTCCTTCGTAGCATGGGGCTGAGCATGGGCCTTGGGGCCCTACGCCTGGGGGCAGAGGCAAAGGGGCCTGTGGTTGCTTCAGAGGGGTGATGAGGGAGAGGAGAGAGGACAAGGCCTGAGTCTGGGACTTGGGGGTAGCTCATCTATTCTGGGGAGGGGGTTAAAGGGTCCCCAGGCAGAGGGTGCAGCTCAGTCAGAAGCAGGGGCCTGGGGTTGCCCCCCCAGCCCCCCCCCCGCATCATGTAATCAGCCCATGGGAATGTGAGATGTGTCGGCGTGCCCTGATGCACTTCTTACCAGGTGTCTAGGTCACACTCTCGGAAGCCTTTGGCAAAGGGGTTGCTGGCGATCTTTAGCTGAGTGATCTGGGGAAGAGATTAGTTGGTTTTGACTTAGGATGGAGAAACTGGGGTGGGAATGAACCCTACTGGTCCCAGGACCCTTATGGCCCCTCCCCCAACTCCTTCCTCATCACTACCCAGCAGATTCCAGGAGTAAAGAGGCACTGAGCTGGTCACCTCTATCCTCGCCACCCTGACCCCCCAAATCGGTCCTTGCGCCTGTGCCCCATTCTCCATCCTCAGCACTCCCTTAACTTGCATCTGAGTATTGCCTGCCATATTCTCCTGAGGCTCTGAGGCTGGGGGATGCCCAAGTAGGGACTCAGGAATCTTATAGCAGGGCCAGAGCTCCAGGGATCTATGTTTGGTGCTGTGTGGTTTAACATTCTCACCCATGAATTATGTAAGGGTAACTGCTCTGGACCAGATAGGGAAGCTGGGTGTGTGCCAGAGCCCTATTCTATTTGATAAAGGAGAGATGGCGTGCCTATCCAATTTATGGGTGATGCTGAATTAGGAGGGAGAGCTAACACGCTGGATGACAGGCAGGATGGCAGCAGGCTGGAATTCTGGGCTAAGTCAAAGAAGATGAAATTAACCAGTAACAAATGTCTAGTCTTATGTGGGTTCAAATAATCAATGTCACAAGAGCAAGATGGTGTAGACCTTGCTAGAAAGCAATTTGTCTGAAGAAGATCTGTAGGTTCTGAGGGCCTGTGGGCTCAGAACAGAGAACCCAGACAGCTTTTAGGTAGCATTAAGAGTCACAATGTCCAAGACTAAGAGGGCGGATCCTGCTGTCCTCTGCCCTGGTAAGGCCCCTTCTACATTTTTGTAAGTAGCTTGGAGTGACCCATCTTAGAAAGAGTTTCAGTAGGGGCAGCTAGGTGGTGCAGTGGATAGAACAGCAGCCCTGGATTCAGGAGGACCTGAGTTCAAATCAGATACTTGACACTTATTAGCTGTGTGAACCTGGGCAAGTCACTTAACCCCAAATGCCTCACAAGAAAGAAAGAAAGAAAGAAAGAAAGAAAGAAAGAAAGAAAGAAAGAAAGAAAGAAAGAAAGAAAGAAAGAAAGAAAGAAAGAGGCTTCAGTAAAGAGAAACCATGACAGGTGGGCAAGCTGGGTAGGGAAGGGCCTTGATTTCATGCCACAAGAGGATTGGTTAAGGCCCTGGGGCCATTTATCCTGAGGAGAAGGATGGGGGACATGATGGCTGTCTTCAGGTATTTGAAAGACTGAGGTGGGAAAGAGGGATTAGAAGTGTCCTGTCTTGAGCCTCAGGGGAAGTCCCCAAAGCAATATTAGTTACAACCGGGCCTCAGCAAAGACTCCCTGAGGACCATATCCCAAAGCGGTGGTAGGGGCTCATCTGGAAGGCTGCGGATGAATGGCTTCCTGGTCAGGTAAGGCTTGGACTGGAGGGACCCTGAGACCCCTTCCTCGGGCCTCTCAGATGCTGTGACTCCAGGACCCTTCCCTCCTGAGGCCTTGTTCCGGGTTCTGGAAGGCTGAACGGGCTTCCCAAAATGCCAGAGCCTCTGCCCCACTTCCCCTCTCCTCTGACCTTCTGGCTCAGCTTATAGGAAGGGAGAGAGCATCTAATCCAACCCCCTCACATTACAGATGAGGAAACTGAGGCTCCTCAAGGTTAAGGGACTCACCCAAAGTCACATGGCTAGTAAGAATAACTCACATTTCTGCAGCATTTTAATATTTCCTATGATTATCATTCCCATTTTACAAAAAAGGAAAAAGAAACTGAGGCTCAGAGAAGGCTGAATTGGGATCTGGGTTTCTAGACCCAGCAAAGAGCCTTTCCGGGGAAGAAGGGCAAGATCTCAGGCTCCCTCCAGCAGCCCCTCCCCTAGACTCCCAGCTCCCCCTCCCCCCCCAGCCTGAGGGCCAGAGCTCTCACCCTGTGGTTCTGGTAAGCCGTCACAGCCGTGAACTGAGTCTCAGAGAAGATGAAGGACTTGAAATTCTCCTGTGCATAGCGCTCACTGTCCTTGCGGGGGTCCACGAACACCACGTGGAATCGGGGCTGGTAGCGGTGCATGGAGTTAAGAATGATCTGGGCAGGAAGGAAGGCTGAGATGGGCTGGCGACTGGTAGCTGGACCAGACCCACAGCACCCCAGCAGGGTCTCTCCCCCAGTCTGACGGGAGGGGCGTGAGGGAGTCTGCCTCACCTAGAGGGCAAGGTGGTGTGGGCCCAGTGGCACCCCGGAGAGTGGGAACAATGGAAGCCTGGAGGATGGGAGCCCAGGGCACAGGCCCTCGAGGGCTGCCTGGGGTGGGGGTGGGGGAGAATGCCCATCCCTGTGGCCCGTCTGAGAGCCCAGACTCCAGCTGTCACACAGCAGCGCAAGCACAACCAGCCAGGACTGGCTTGATAATCCAATCCAGAGCTCAGATATGTGCAAAGCGCTTGCTTCAGTGATGCCACTTTAAGGTGGGAAGTGAGAGAGGCAGCCGGATAGAGTAGATAGAGAGATGACCTCGGGAGCCAGGAAGACCTGGGTTCAAATTCTCCCTCTGACAGCTCCTGGCTGTGTGACCCTGGACAAGTCACTTTCCTTCTGGGCGTCCCAGCTGGATCTCTAGTATTACACATTACAGACCAATGCCAATCTGCATCGGTGGAGGAAGTGTGGAACGCTAGGAGTTCCCCATGCCAATGAAAACACAGGTCCAGTAAACAAAAAAAAAAAGATGAGGAAGGCTGCCATGGGGGGGGGGGAACTTAGAAGCACAGGGTTTACAGCTGGAAGGAGCCTTGGGAATCATCTGGTTCAACTCGCTCAGTTTGCAGATGAAGAGGCCAGAGCGAGGAAGCACTGGTCTGAAGTCCCAGAGCTGGCGAGGATGAATGAGAGCTGGGATCGGAAGCCTATCGGCAACGCTCTCAGGTCCCTTCTGGCCTCCAGCTTCTGCCTCTTAGGCCTGGGGCTCTCGCTCCAACCTCAGCTCTCTTCGGGCCGGCTGCCTGGCCCTCATCATGCTCCCCCCATTCCCGTGCCCAGCCCCTTTCTCTCTTCACCCTCTCTCTCTCAGCTACTCGTCTCCGCTCCCAGATCGGCCTCTACTCGCTGGTTTTCACGGGCTTCCTCTCTTCCCGGCCCCCAGCATTCTCCGGCCCCCTCCCCACCCACCGTTCGGTTTGCTCGCCATCCCTCTTGTCTCCCTGCTTGGTACCCATCCCAGGTGTAACGGGCACGAAGTAAATGGAGTTCGGCTCCAGGTGCCAAGCTGCAAGAGAGGGCTCGCTCCCTCCCACTCCCCTCCCGGCGCATCTACTCCGAACCACACCCCCAGCCCCGCCCCCTCGTTTAAGCCGTGGCCTATCCCTCGCCGCCCCCCCCCCCAGCCGCGACGGGTCCTGGCTCACGTGGCCATTGTCGTCCAGCAGGTTGTTTGTGAGCTTCAGCTTGTCGAAGGAGACGATCTGGCGCATCCACTGGGCGCCCTTGGCGGGAGAGTCTGGGTGGAAGTGCATCCTGCCCGGTGTGGCCGGGTCCGCCTTTCCAGCTGCCAGCCACGTGGAGCTGTGGAAGGCGTATCTGGAGGACAGAGCGGGGAAGGAGATGGGCGACCCCCAGCCCTGGCGGGCCTCCAGCTCCGTCCTGTCACCCCTCCCATGTATTGGAGGGCAACGTGCCCGGGGAGGTGCGGGGCACCCAGTCCTGCACTCCCCTTCTCCCTGGAGGAGCTGACGGAGTGTCCAGAGCAGCAGACTGGGCAGTCAGAAGACCTGGGTTCGAATCCTGCCTTCCCCACTGCCTTGTTGTATGGCCTCGGACAAGTAGCCTCCGCTCTCTGAGCCCGTTTCCTTCTCTGTTAGATGGGGCGTGTTCTCTACGGTCCTTTCCAGATGGGGATGACTGGCGCACAGATCTACAACTGGAAGGGGCTGCGGAGGCCATCCACTCCAACCTTTTCCTTACTTTACAGATAAAGAAACTGAGGCAGAGGGAGGTTGAGTGGCTTGCCCAGAGTCACACAGGCAGGGAGGCTCTATAGTTATGGTCGCAGTGCCTAGCACAGAGCTTGATAAATGTTTTATTCATTCATTCACTCATTCACTAATTCATTCACTCGGCGGCGGCCCCATGCCACTGTGGGAAAAACTGGGGATTTGGAGCTGCAGGCACCTGGGTTAGTCTTGGCCCGGAGGCTACTCACGTCGCGGTGTAGCTTTAGGTAAGTTACTGACCCTCTCTGAGCCTCGGTATTCTCCTCTATAAAGTGGATTCATACCACTCCCGAGTGGACCCTGTTACTATGGAGGAAGCAGAAATAGGAGCTTCCTGGCTTTGGGCATATCCCTTCCCGTTTCTGAGCCTCACTTTCCAGCCTGGTAAAATGCGGGGTTGATTGTTCAGTTATAGAATTTAGAGCTGGAAGGATCGTTACACATGAGGAAATCTAAGAGTCAGAAGGGGCCAGAGTTGCTGCTTCCAATCCCACCCATGCCTGAATGAGACTCCTCTCTCCACATCCCCTCTGCCACCAAGGTTCCTCCAACCTTCATTCAGAATCTTTACTGAAGGGGGAGCCTCCTGCTTCCCAATGATGCCACTCTGCTTTGGGGCAGCTCTCATGGGCAGGAAGTTTTTCCTGACACTGAGCCCCAATTCTTTGCTACATCCTCCCCCTCATCCCATGCTCCTGGTTCAGCCTCCTGGGGCCAAGCCCAACCAACCTGATCCTTCTTCCACAGGGTGGCCTTGAAGGCAGTTCTCATTGGGGGGAAGGGGAAGGGAGCCCCAATCCCTCCCCTGCCCCAGGGCTTCTCTTCTCCTGGCTAACCAACCTGTCCTCATATGGCATCGGTGACTTGTCTGACATGCCATGGGTAGTAAGTAGCAGAGCCAGGATTGGAACCATAGTTCCTGACTCCAAATCCAGCCCTGAGACCCAGCTTTAAATCCTCTGGTCCCTCTCTTCCCCCTCTTGTCCCTCCTGTCTTCCCACCTGTACCGCTTGTCGTCTAGGGGAATGAAGTCCATGAGCAGGGCATAGTCAGCCAGCGTGTCCATGCCCAGGATCTTCACCTGAAAGGTGGGAAACATCCTCCTGCCAGGAAAAGAGCAGCCCGTTACTGAGAGGCCCTTGGAGGACCCTAAGTCTCCCAGCCTGCCCCTCCCCCGTACCTTCCAGCCTTGGTGACGATCATCTCGGTCCCCAGCTGGTTGAATTCCTCCCACAGACTCTTCATCTCCAGCTGAACAGTCACATTGGACACATGGGGATTCTTCCAGCCAGGCTGAGGATGGGCCTCCCCTGGGTCCAGCCTGCTGGGCTCCAGGGAAGCTGGGGCCCTGCTGTAACCCAGGGAGGGTCCCAGCCTGGCTGCCCACTCGGGGCTGGACGGAGGCAGTGGGTAGCCCTCAGAAGAGGTCAGCACGCTGAGGCTGGCTGAGATGAAGGCTAGGGGAGACAGGACAAGACAGGGAAAACATTCCCTCCATCCTCAATCAGCAAGGAGCATCTGGTCAGGAATGGGGCTGAGCAGGGATGCCTGGGCAAGCACTGGGCAGAAACAAATCCCTCTGGAGGTGGAGCAAGAAGACCTCAGGACACCAGGACCATTTGGGGAAGATAGATAGCATATCCTTTTGGAAAGGGCACTAAAGGGGCAGCTAGGTGGCTCAGTGGATAGAGCACCGGCCCTGAAGTCAGGAGGACCTGAGTTCAAATCCGACTTCAGACCAAACACTTGACCCTTACTAGCTGTGTGACCCTGGGAAAGTCACTTAACCCCAATTACCTAAAAAGAAAGAAAGAAAGGGCACTAAACCTGGAGTCAGGAAGACCTGGGTTCGACTCTTGCCTCAGACACTTGCTAGGTGTATGACCATGGGCAAGTCACTTAAGTACTCTGTGCCTCAGTTTCCTCATCTGTAAAATGAGAAGGGTTGGACTCCATGGTTCCTTACTGTTCTAAGTCTGTGATTCTGTGACCTTCGAACCAAGAGACTCCTGCTTGGAAGGCTGGGCCTGGGGCAGCAGGAAGGGGCTAGGCCAAGGGGGAGGAAGTTTTATAGATGTTTGTCTATGGTAACTCACTTTTCTTGCCAAGTGCTCAGACTGAGCTCAGCTGTTCCTCCATAATGAAGGAATACAAGTACCTGCCAAATTTCAGCACCTGGTTGGTGTCTAAGCCTGGGTCACCCTACCAGTCATGACCCTATGTCCAAGAGGCCATGACTGCATGAGAGTTGGAGTCACCCAAGCGTGAATCCTACCTCCACCCTTCCTAGTTATCTGACGGGTTTCACTTCTCTGGGATTGAATTTCCTTCTCTGTCGTTTGGGGTGGAGAGGATCTAGGTGATCTCTAAGATCTGGTCCTGTTCTAAATGCTCGATATGTGGGGGTGCAGGGGGAGGGGAGGGACAAAGAGATAGGGAGATAAACAGAGCAAACAGCAAGGACTTGGAGATGATTATCAAGCTTCCTTCCTCACACTTCTCTCTAGATCCATCCGTGTGAATTCCTCATGTGTGATCTCATTTGCTCTTCACACCCCTGGGAGGCAGGTTGATGACAGTTAACATTTCGATGAAACATTACAAAAATACTCGCAAAAGGAGACATAGACAAGCAGGGTAGTGTTGTGTTCAACTTAATATATAACCCAGAACCGCAAGCTTCCTGGCCAGTCAAAGCTCCTACTTCTACACCACACTGCCCCTGAGATGCCAGTGAATCTCTCCAGTCCAATGTGCATTGCAATCATGAACTATACTTCGATTAATATAATAATTATGTTTTATGCAGTAATTATATATTATTGTGATGGAATGACCGTTTCAAGGAGCCATGTGCTCCCGCTGCCCATGGAGGTTGAAATCTTGCAGGGACTTGACAGGTCTCCCAGGACACGCCCCCAACCCAGACGCCTGGACAAGGGTGGAATCACGTAGGATGTGCTGGTGTGGGTGGGCTGACATCTGCACTGTGGGAGAGAAAGCCACATCAAGGAGACCCCAGGTCAGTCAAGTGGCCTCCTACATTAGGGGGTCTTTGGGCACAGGCTGGATGGCCATGTATCAGATGTGTGGTGGTGGATGCCTTTTGGGTTGGCCCTGGAATCTGTGGACCCGGGCTCAAAATCTTCCTCTCCTTTGCACTGGCTGTCCCCCATGCCTGGAACATATCCTGTCCTCAAGATTGCTTCTTGAGCTACCCAGTTTCATTGAAGATGCAGCCCAAGCCCTTACCTCCATCACAACAGAGATCTTTCTCAGTCCCTCCCTCCCTCCCTCCCAAACTGCCGTGTATTCACTTTGTATAGCTCATGTATATACATGCATTCGTCCCTATTGTCTTCCCCAGCAGAACATAAGCTCCTTGAGGGCAGAAGTTGCTTCTGACAAATCACGAGAAGCATGTGCACGTGAGCACGCACGCGCGCTCACATACACAGAGGATACCATCTGAATCTGAATCTCCAGCCAATCACATTTCAGAGATAAAGATGAACCCCAGAAGCCATCCCTTCCCAGAACAGCCAGCCCATCCTCAGTGGTCCCAGAAGTTAGAGCTGCCAAGGTTTTATACTTAGGAGGGCAAAGCCCCCAACCTAGGGTAAGCAGAGCCCAGATACCTTGGACTAGTTCAGTCATGAGGAAGCTAGAAAAGGATGCTATCAGGAATTAGCCGAGTTCCGTTGGTGTCAGAAGCCTCAGCGCGCGCGCGCGCGCGCGCGCGCGCGTGTGTGTGTGTGTGTGTGTGTGTGTGTGTGTGTGTGTGTGCGCGCTCGCACCACCGTGACCTCCCACCTCCTCTTCTGGCCATCCTGCTTCTCTCCTCTCCAGCTCCTGCTTCCAGGTTCAGTGCAGGTCCGACTCCTCACTGACCTGCTCTCGGGTCTCCCAAGTGTTTAGAGCCCTCCCTCTTTCCTGTTATGTTTATTTGCATGTGGTGGAATGTGAGCCGAGGGCAGGGGCTGATTTGTTTTTGTCTTTGTGTTTCCACGGTCTAGAGTGGGACAGTGGATTGAATTAAACATTTAGGAAGTGCCTGTGAGCTACCCAGCCTTGGGCTGGCCAGAGGGAAATATGCAAAGATAACCAACCTGCCCTCATGATGCTAATGGTCTGGAGGAGGATAAAACGCAAAGACACATAGCTAGAATCAATCACTCAATCAGTCAACATTTATTAAGCTTCTACTCTGTGCCAGGCACTGTGCCAAGAGCTGGGGAAACAAAAAGAGGCCAAAGACTCAAAAGCAAGCCTGCCCTCAAGGAGCTTACAATCTAATGGGAGGAGCTTATAATCTTATACTCGAATGGGCATTTAATGAGTATCAAGTGCCTCCTGTGTGCTGAGTGCTGATTTTACCCCAGTGAAGTAAGATTTATTCTTTGCAGTGAAGAAGTTTACAATTCCAGTCTTGGGGCCCCAAGACCTGCATTGTTGATACTATGGGCCAGGTGTTGGAGGTACAAAAACCAACAAGGAAGTCATTCCTGTCTCCAAGGAGCCTGTGTGTACCTTTGCCTTACCCCATTATTTACTAATATTGTTTGAGCCTAGCTTTATGTGCCTTGGTTTTTTTGGGTTTTTTTTCCAGTGATGTCCAACTGTACATGACCTCATTTGGGATTTTATTGGCAAAGATATTGGAGTGGTTTGCCATTTCCTTCTTCAGCTCAATTGACAGATGAGGAAACTGAGGCAAACAGAGGTAAGTGACCTGTCCGGGATCACACAGCTAGTACGTGACTGAGGCCAGATTGGAATATAGGTGCTCTGCTCTATCCACTTCACATCTTTGCCCCTTAGAAATTGTCTAACCTAAAAGCTTGCTGCAGAGAGCAGGCTGAGCTCAGAGACACTCAAAGAAGCCAGGACGGTGGAAAGCAATACTGTCATACCTGCTGATCAACATTTTAAACTGCCCTTCTCTGGAGACTGCACACTGAGGCCAATCAGGCAAATGTCCTCATGCCCTTATAGAAACTCTAATACAAACTTGCAGAGACTCAACAGGGAGTCACACCTTCTTCTGGCTCTCTCCTTTACCAAATGGATGACTTTCCAAAATTGCTTCAGATTTTGGGGTTCATTCTCACAACTATCAGAGGAAACTGCTTTGCAAACCTTCCAGGGCTGCAGAGACGGGATTCTTCTCATTATTAATGTAGACAGACCAGAGCTGATTTTTGTCTGCCTCTCAAGTGCTTGTGGGCTGCCTGATTGCAAGCATGAATGCTTCACTGAGAACATCTCGAGGCTGAAAAGTACTTTGTCACCTACTTCTTTGCTATTGCTAAGTGTAGCCCAGGATTATTTGAAGGATTAAGATGAATGACCAGGAAGATGATAGGAGTGCAAAGGAATTTTGGATTACATGTAACTCAAATAAAATTCTAACCAGAAGCACTCAGAATAGCAGCAGAAGAAAAGGAGTTCAAAAGACAGTTTTAAAATACCTAAAGGTTTTTGTAGCCGAGGATTGCATTATAGAAGAACTAAAGCTAGCCCTTAAGCTCTCAAGCTAAAGAGTTCTTCTCTTAAGGGGGAAGAGGCCACAGAGAAGCCAGATACCAACCAAAGGCACCCAGCAGCATCAGAGAACAGAAGCCGGGGCTCGTAGGAGAAACCCTAAAGTGAGCAGCAGCATGACAGGGGAAAGAACAGCAGAGGATTCTGACTCAATGGAGAAATCGGGTCAGCCATGTCACCGGAGGACCTCAGCCTTCCCTGGCCACTCATGGAGGCACGAGTCATCCCAGTCATGTGTGTGCCCTGGCCACATGTGTTCCATACAATCTTCCCTGGCCAAACTGTCTCCTGCACATGTACCTTTCTGTGAATGTTCCCTAGTCATATGCTCCCTGTGCATCTCTTCTCCTATTGGGGCTGTAAGAACCTGTGGGAGAATGTCATCCTGAGTATATAGCCAGTTTTTTTGATGTGCAATGCATTCATCTTGCTATGCTATTTTATTAAATATCTATACATTTATCTATAAATACTGTGAATTTATATTGTTATGCTATTTTATTAAATGCCTTTTGCTTTGAATCAATATGTCCATGGGGGCTCATGAGCTGTAAGGGGTTTTGAGTGAATGTTGACTGACATCAAAACGCCTTGAACCTGGGGTGGCATCCGAGTGGAAGGAATGTGTCAGAAGAGCTCTGCTGAGGACATTATTATTACTGAAAGAAAGAAGGTGGCCATGGAGAGGGAGGAGGGACAGGGAGCCTGGACTGGGGGATCCCAAGGAATACCAGCCCTGGCAAGAATAGGACTGAGGGGTTGGGTGGGACTAGCTCTTGGGGTGAGTTGTGAAGAGTGATCAGAGGCCTGGATAGGAGAGCAAGCTCCCTCTGTTTTCCCAGGAACATCAGATCATCATGAGACTTCATAACTCCCTCGCTGACCTTCTTCAGGGACAGAAATGTGGCAGGAG